ACAAGAAAGCAGTTAAGTCTTAAATGACACTTATCTATCAGAAGTAATAAGATTTATGTACAGTACATCGATACTATCAAGAACAGTGTTTACAAACATGATCTTTGGAAATAATATTTTCCAGGTGATAGAGTTTCTTTTCATGTTTGAACAGAAGCCATAAAGACATCAGTTCTCGATGCACATATCCACTAGAATGTGTCTCAAGAATCTGCTGAATAGTATGATCCAGAGATTCCTTACTCAAGCCATTCTTGATGAACGTTATTTTATCTTCTCGATTATTTGAGACAAAGCCTAAAGAAGTACAACAAGTGCCGCAGTTCCAGCGAGCGCATTTATAGCAGCCGCCTATTCGTTTTGCTCTATGTTTCTTGGCAAAAGTGCTTCTACCCATACCTGTCATATATTTGTATGCATTGGGATACTCGCCAGAGACACGAACTTTCGCTTCAATCAGCCATCTTATATCATTTGGGATATTATTAAGCATAAGTACTCAATCTTTCTACTCGAGCTCGATAAATTCTTTTTATGATGTTAAGAGGGAGAAAAGAATAGAATTTTCGGATGTTGAGAAGTGCTAAATCCATTGATGAATCGGACCATTGCTGAAGAAAATGGAAGGATTATCAAGTCAGTTTATAGAAGGAAGAAGAGTATGAGATAGGCTTTCGGGTATGATTAAATTATACCGAATGTCAGAAGATGCAGTTAGTAAGCATTTAATGCTGTCAAGATCAGATGTTTAATGTTGTCAAGATCAGATGTGAGATGTCTGCAATAATTCAGATGAAAGTTCAACGAAATTATTGAGGTAAATCAAGTTTACCTTAAGGATTGAAATTGTGGTATGACCAGAGGAATGGTAGGTTTTTCCACATAAGAAATGAAAGTTCAACGAAATTCTCGACTATAGTTAAGTCAGAGAAGTTGAAGTAAATATCAATAGTGATATTGAGTAATAAGTTTTTCGAAAGAGAAACAAGATTACTATAGTAAGATGTTAATTTATAATGAAGATGTGAATTGTTAATGATTACAATTGACATCGATATTTAAGCATGCAGAGGTTCCGCACCCGAAGGGCTCCGGGTAGTGGGTAAATCGCATGAAAATGTATTATAGATTAAAGTTTTAAGTTAAATAAATATTTAATATATCAATTCTTATCTAAAGTTGTCCAGTTTTCATAATGTTTTTCGTAACAAAGTTACGTAAGTATGTGTGTGATTCAGAGTATGTGCTTTTGCACCAAGAATATAAGTTAACTTACGAGGAACAGCCGATAGAAGTGTTGAACCAGAAGGTTCATTGGCTAAAGAATCAAGATATTTTCCTCGATAATGTAAGAATGAATCGCCACATATAAAGTTAAGATGCCATTGATAAGTGATAAGTTGATATAAGTGCTCAGTTTTCAGATGTTGAATTATGATGTATATACATAGTTAGTATATATATATATATCCCAGTTTCAGTATTTCCGAGGGCGGAAATAGTTTTAAGGGGGGTAGATTGTAATACCCCATATTTTAGTAAGTCAGTAAAAATTATTTACCGCAGTAAAATTTGTTTACTGCAGTAAAAAGTTATAAGGTAAATCAGTAAGAGTGATTAATTTGGTATAGATAATACGTAAAGTATTTCAAGATTTAGTTAAAAAAAAATAAAAAATTCATAATCGAGAATAGTAGAGATTATAATAAAATCTTCGGTTTTCAATCGTAAATGAAATTTAAGTCCGATTTTGATTCCGAAAATTTTATTATTGATATCTAAATTTTATTAAGCATAAAAGTTTAGTTATTATGGATTTTCAAAGATTAAGAATAGCATAATTTTAATTAATTGTGAATTTTCACAATTTATGCTATTATTAGAAAAATAGAAGTGTTTATGTTATTTTTAAGCATGTTTTTCCTCATTAAATCATTTGTAAATGATTTATATATTAGAGATATTAATATAAGTTAAAAAAAATTGAAAATTATTTTCTGATTTTATTAGAAAATTCGAAATTAAAAAGAAAAATAAAAAAATAAATTGTGGAAATTATTTTTATTTTGTAGAATCTTCATCATTTGAAGCAAGTTGGTGTTTTTGATGTTGAGGTTGTGGCTCGAGATTGATTTCGGATGTTGTTCTGGGGCTTGGGTTTTGACTTCGTTAGGCCACCAAGTTGGTGTTTGGGCAGTTTCGGGTCGGCTCTTTGGCTGTGGGACTCTCTCTGGATTGACTCGGTATCCGTCGGCTCAGCTTGCTTTCGCTGCTTAGGAAGGGCTTATTTAGTGTGCTTAGTGTTTGTTTGTTGTTTTCTGTGATTTTTGTTCTTTAGTTGGTCTGTGTGTTTGTTTGTCTTTATTTGGATATGAATACAGGCTAGGCATTATGCAGTGGCTCTGTTATTTATGTTCCTTTATTTTCGGTTGTGGAGTTCTCTAGGCCGCCATGTGCGTCTCCTCTCAGTTTTCTCTTCCTGTTCTTTTATTAGGCGTGTTTTTGGTTTGGGCCGTTGGCCCCTGTCTCATTACCCTGTTGGGGTCTTAGATTACCCCGTTGGGGTCTTGTAATTTGTTCTCTTTGCACTTTTGTGCTTTTTATAGTACATCTATCGTTCCGGAAAAAAAAAAATACTTATATATAATATGGTATTTATATATTATATTAAAAAAATAATAGCAAATAAAACGTTATTTAAAATCAAAATTATCAAAGCTTTATTTAAAAAAATAAAAATAAATTTCTAACCTACATGGATAAAAGTATAAATAACTATTGTCTATC